GCAGAAGTCAATACTTGTGGCTTTTCAGTGTAGTTTCCAAGGTTGTTCAATAAAAACGGCTGTATCCTTAGTCAAACTTGTCCATTTTATTTGTCCGGTGATCGACAGAGTATTTCTATGCTCATTGCACAGACCTCATGGCCTACGCCCACGAAACTAGCATGTTTTAGTCATCAAAAGCGTAAATCCTATACAGCCAATAGGCAACAGCGACTATGCTAGCCTTGTGATTGGCTAGTACTAACGACCTTGAAAGTGGGAGCTCAAATTATCGCTTTAACTTGATGAGATAATTTACCACATTCTGATTGGATAACACTGTCTGATGGAATGATGCCAGATCTCCTGTTACATGATTGGTTGACACCCTTATTATTTTGACAGGCTGACCAAAGGCCTCAACCTACCACATGCAGAAAGGCTTAAGTCCTAGGCTTATGTGTGCTTGTGTCTGCGTTCGTGCGTAGAAGCTTCTGTGATGAGTGGCGCAAGCTTATATCCATTTCTGCAACTACCGCAAGGCGGATGACTTATAAGATGATATGGGACTACTGAACCCATCGGCTGCCGTGTCAGCGCTGATTCTAGTCATCGTTACACTAGCCTGGGCCGGTTGACTGATAATCGAGCCAAACTTTCCACACCTAAATAGCCCCTCCTCCTTTGTTCTTGTCCGGATCCTCGTTCAGTCATGCTGTCTCCTACCGATGTGCCCGTCCCCTTGCTCGTTGGAGCCAAGAATATTGTGACGCCGGTCCAGCTGGAAGTATACTCTAACTAGTCAGTCTATCATTGTCTGGAGGGTATTCACGCCCCAGACTTAGCCTCTATCCTGCAGGATGGCTCGCTCAATTACTTGGTTCCTCCTCGTGAACATCATCGCCTGCGTCTACCTCTCTGTATTTGCCTCCGCCGACTTCATGGACTTGCTCAGCGAATCCATTTGTGCGGCGCACTGTTTCCGGGACTTCGTCCGCACCGTGAGTCGTATTCCCTTTTTCTCGCTCACGCACCGCTGGGCCTGTTTTTACACGTTTCCTTATCGTCAT